TTTATTTTGTGTGTGACTTAAAAAAAAAATATATATATATATATATTTATATTATTTAAATATTATGTATTTTTATTATAAAATTGGCATTCATCATTTAGTCAATTAAAATATTTAAAATGTCATTTATATTACAGTAATTTCACAACAGTATGCTGTTAAACACAACACATACACCATTCAAAAGTTTGGGGTAAAGTCTCTTATTCTCACCAAGGCTGCATTTATTTAATCAGAAATACAGTAAATACAGAACTACTGTGAAATATTATTGCAATTTAAATATTTAAAATATATTATAAAAACACAATATTTTTAAAGTGTAATTTGTTTCTGTGTTGGCAAAGCTGAATTTTCAGCATCATTACTCCAGTCTTCAGTGTTACATGATCTTCAGAAATCATTCTAATATGCTGATTTGCTGCTCAAGAAACATTTCTTATCATTATCAATGTTGAAAACAGTTGTGCTTCTTAATGTTTGAGAAAACCATGCATTTTTTTCAGGAGTCTTGGATAAATAGAAAGTTAAAAATACAACATTTATTTGAAATAGAAATATTCTGTAACATTATAAATGTTGTTACTGTCACTTTTGATCAATATAATGCATCCTTGCTGTATAAAAGTATTCATTTATTTTTTTTAAATGACAATGTTGGAATTGTTAGTGGACAATTTAAATAAACTAGTGAGTGTTAAGAGTGAGTGCTGCGAATAGGGAGACATCTCATGGGCTGCTTTTAAAAGCAGATATTTGTCTGCATGGGATGCTCCACTGAATGTGTTCACTGAATTGAGTGATGGAGCGCGGTGCTGATGGAGCCTCATCGTCTAGTACTAATGGCTAACAGCAAACAACTGTGGGTTCCTCAGGCCAGACAAAGTGGTGATTGCTTGTTTCTGTCTGCAGGCTCAGACGCAGGCTCCAGTCTGACCTAGTTCTGCTGCCGATAAAAAGAGAATTAAGAGCAGTCCAGCCACAAATCGCAGCACTACTTCCAGTCCTGACAGGTGAACAGTCATTCACAGATGAACGACATGGAGAGGGAGATCAGAGGGAAATGCTTAAATACATGCATAGAATATAATATAATAGAACAGAATAGAATAGGACAAATATAAAATATGTCTAGCAGTGTGCAATGTGTGAGATCAAAGTAAACCTACAGTATAAGCTCATGTGAGCATGTTGTTTAAGATAAATACATGACAATGATGTATGGGTAGATGGTTTTTCTACTGAGATCAACAGACAAAAAAAGGCAAAAACAAAAAAGAAAGACAGTGAATATGCAGGTAACTGCCAAAGTGGCCAGTGAGTCTGAAAAAGCCAGTGAGTGCAGTGACTGCAGGAGAGGAAGAACAAGCTCAGGCACCTGTGTGGCGTCTGTGGTGCTGTGTGATTGCCTCACTGTTTGAATTATATCAGGTAATGATAAGAATCACTGAAGAATGACATGAAGCGAATATTATCAAGACGTAACAGCTTCTGAAAGCCTGCTGTCATATTCAGCCGAATATCAGAGACCATTTTGAATCAGAGCGATAAAGGTTTGCACATAATTTAATTTCATATATGGGTGATTCTTCAATTAGGGGAACTTTTCTGTCCCCTACAATGATTTTAAAGCAAAAAAAAAAACAGTCATTCTAGGTTTAAAGAAGAGATCACATTATCTTTTTAATGCATCTCATTACTTACTTTTTCAGTAGTGAAAGGCTAAATTACCCTTACTTCTTAACAGGGTCAGTAACATTTTTTTTATGTTTCTGAAGGAAGTCTCTTATGCTCACCGTAGCTGCCTTTTTAAAAAAAATCAAAAACAGTAATATTGTGAAATATTATTACAATTTAAAATAACTGTTTTCTGTTTTAATATATTGTAAAATGTAATTTATTCCTGTGATGCAAAGCTGAATTTCATCATTACTCTTCAGTCTTCATTGTCACATGATCCTTCAGAAATCATTGTATGCTGATTTAGTGCTCTAGAAACATGTATTATTATTATTTTCAGTGTTGAAAACATTTGTGCTAATGCTGCTTAATATTTTTGTGGAAACTGTGATACATTTTTTTCAGGATTATTTAATGTTAAGAAAGTTCAGAAGAACAGTGTTTATTTGAAACTGAAATCTTCTGTAACATTATGAATGTCTTTACTCTTACTCAACCCAAACTTTTGAGGGGTAGTGTAAATACACTATTTATATATGTACATATTCATTTGGTATTTATACACTGTAAACGTACATATTAATTCAGTCAAATTAAATAATATTTCCGAACAACAGTTATATAGATAAATTGAAGAATCACCCATATCTGAACATAGGTCTTGTGTAAGCCTGTATTAACATCTCCTTTCACAAGTAATCTGGTGATCGTCGTTCACACCTAGTATTAACATGCTTCTCCTGACACCACTTCGTCACCTTAACTTCGCAAATGAGACATTAAGCTGAGTCCTCGCTGTTATTGTACTCAAGTATGTTAACAGTTTGAGTGACTGGAACTTGTGTTCGGATGACCTGAGACCTGAGACCAGTTATTACTACTGTAGGTACAAAATGAGGCCATAATTTAATCCAGACCATCTGAGCAAAACCATCAGTACAGCAACGCTCTGTTCTGACAAAAGCAAAATAACTGAATTATCATTAGCAGGTTCAAGTCTACGTGTACAAAGATGGACAGACGAAGAGAGAGAACACAGAGAGAAAGATGAGAAGAATGGCATGAGCGGGACACAGAGGACAGGAAGGATGTCAAAGGGGATCTGGCTGTTCATTCATAAAGATTAATCGATTCACAGGTGGAAAGTGCTAAGAAAGCATTTGTGGGCTTTCTGTGCTCCCAGCAAATTACACACTGATATGGATCCTATAGTCACCAAGCGTCGGATTTATGAAGTAAATCTGTAGATATGGACACACACACACATTCAAAAGCACTGCACATACACAGCTGTGTTCAGGGATGTAATTTTCTCATTTATTTCAGGGTTTATCTTGTGAGCCAAGACCTAAAAGCTCCCAGTAAATCCTCTTTTATACACAAAAACAAACACATATACTCAAATAGACTGACTTTGGCAACTTAGTAAATTATTTTTGGGCCTAAATTAGCCTTTACTGCAATACTGCTGAAAAAAAAACTAAAAGAAAAATCTACCATTTGCAGAAACAGACAGCGCTTCAATTAATTCAGATTGAGTCTGGAAAGAAATAACTGTCATTAAAGCGCCCCTGCTGTTATAAAGCCCCAATGAATACCAGAATGACCCTGTTTGTGTGTGTGACTGAGAGAAACAAGAAGAGAACGAGTGAAAGGATAGATGGACGCCCCTCAAGGTTACCTGTCACAGCAATGTCATTGCTGGAGGCTGGCGTATCCCATGTTGCCATATACTACTGGTTGATGTTTAGTGCAACGGTAGTGACACACTATACGGTTTCCTCCTAAATAAAACCCTGCTGTCATTAAACCATTATGTTATCGTCAGCCAATCACAGGAGAGCTCACATTAAAACACTGATATGATGGCAGAACTCTCCTGAGGTTAAATGCACTCAGATTAACATGAGACATTTCAATTTAAGATAGGAATATTGAGGTAGTATCACACAGCTATCAAAAATTCATAAGCTGCAGTTATAATGCATATTTGTCCCTGATTATTTTAATGTTATAGCTATACTGTTTTACTGTTACAGCTATAATTATTATAATTAAATAAGCCTGGTGTTTATATAGCCAAATTCGTTTTTACTTGCACTACTATTAACTTAGTTGAAAAGATAACAATTGCACATTACCACATTTTACAGTGTATAAATACTAAAAAATAAAAACATACATCAAAACATATACAATACTGTTCAAACGTCTGGGATCAGTAAGAGACATTTATAAATGCTATAAAAGATTTCTATTTCAAATAAATGTTATTCTTTTTAGTAATTAGTAATTTAGCAATTTCCCCATTATCGTTCTGTCATCTGCAAAATGTCCGCTTCTCTTCTCTCATATGAGACGGTAAGTGTGCTGCTATATGATACAATCTCTGTATAATATTGAGCCTCTATCTCAAACTACGTTACACTAATTCAAAATCCTTACAGCTATGAATTGATGTGAGGAACTAGCATAATGTAAATCCTCTCTCAATACATGGTTTATTTTCTGGCAGTAATATTCATTCAAGACTTGTTCTATACAAATTCGCATACATGAAAAAACAGCCATTGCATAATCAGCACAGCACCTCGGGTTATAGTCACTCAGCAGCAGAATACAGCTGTCAGTCCTGTTTGAAGTGCTAATACTCTTCTGCTCAGAGACATTTCAGTATACAACCACATTTATAACCAAAGACACAACCTTACATTTTCAGCAGTCACAACCAAATTCTGAGAAAGGTTTGTGGG